AGCCTCCGACGAAAGTGTTTTTAGTTGCCATGTTATCTTTGTGATGTGAATTCAGGAAGCTAACATGAAAAAAATAAGTTACTGGTTCTAGAATTATTATCCACTACTTAAACGACACTTTGCTTATGAGATCATCATTTTGTAGTTATTCTATGTCGGATAATAGTTTGAGCATAACAGTTGTGTCTCCTTTGTTGTGCTATCTGTTTGCATAGAGAAGTTCAGTCAGTTGGCATGTGATGTTCACATCGGCCCACCTTCTAATATTGCTTTAAATCTTTCCATATTTGAGTTGTGAATATGATGTATTGTAAATCATTTTTTGCGAGTAGTGTTGTTAAGTTTGTGATTTGTGGTCATACTCATTCAAATTACTTTCATGCCACAATGCAGTTTCACAAGGTTAGATGACTTGTGGTTGATTTGTTGTAGCAAGTACCATATATTAAATTGGCAGATGCATTCAAACAAGGTGACATGCACTGACGAAGCTTCGATGTGGATCAAACATATACCTTGCAGTTTCATAGCACTGACATCTGATTTTGGTTCTGTGTTTCACACCGTAGCCATAATTAGTAACTTTGCATATTTTGAAGTGTAACCTAATATATTTTAGAGGAAGTATAATGAAATAATTATACTTTTACTTAGAGTTTTAAGTCGAGGTTTGTAAAAACAACATCACTGTCAATCCATTTTCACCCATGTTGCAGTAACATCTGGCCCACAATAAACAACCAACATATAAGCCCTCTAAAAGGAATCAGCGTGGCAAAAGCGCGCACACACTTCTAGTCATGTATGTGTTCACATAATTCTTTTTGTAAACTTTGGATAGGAATTTTGTTTTCCTAACATACCGGGCTTCAAAAAGCCCGGGAACCAAAAGTTCACAGTCGAAACATGAAGCATATTGCTTCGGATTGCCAAAGTGTGATCAATGATATTGCCGCCAAGCAGGAAGGGAAACATGAAGTTGTCATTAGAGAACTTACCACATCCAGATCCTTATTTATGCTATGTAATTTTATCCATGAAAAAAGAGGCCCGAATTATGAAGCCCACAATCTAGCTACGTTTGCTACTACTCTAAATCAGGGGAGGCATGCATGGCTTGGTCTCCCCCATGATACTATTTGTATTCCGATGATCATCAATGAATAAAACCTACTCTCTTCGTTTTCAAATATAAGTTTTTATAAAGATTCTAACAAGTGACTATATACGAAGTAAAATGAATGAATCTACACTCTAAAATATGTCTACATACATTTTTATATTATAGCCCATTTGAACGGAGGGAGTAGTGGATTGTGCTAAAAAAACATGGAGCCTATTGGAGTATTTTAAAAGCAGAAAGAGTGAATACGCCTTGCTCTTCATAAAGCGGGTTCAGCAGCGGCGCGCGAGACTACCTTCGGAGACGGGCGCGTAAGCACGAAATCGCGTTGACGCCCACCACGGAAGCACATCCGGCGATGACCATGAGCGCCCCGACTCCCGCCATCCACTCGCTCAGCGCGCCGCCGCGGCCGCAGGCGCCGGCAACGCCTCCTCTCCGGCGCGCTACCTCCGCGGTATCCACCCTCCGGGAGTCCCCACAGCCGCCTCTAGCGCCCCTGAGCATCTCCTCTCGGCGCGCCGCCCTCCTCGCCCTCGTCCTGGCCGCCTCGCCGGCAAGGCCCGCCGCCGCCGCCTTCTCCTTCAGCTTCCGTACGGACACCACCACCATCTCTTCAACCGCCGGTCATGGCTATCGTTCCCCCTCACTCTTCTTGCTTTCCTCGCTGGTGTGTGCGCAGCTGGGCCGAAGGAGTTGCTGCGGGAGCAGAAGAGGAAGTCGGCGCGCTTCCTCCTCGCGCCCATCGCCGCCTCCCGCGAGACCCTCGTCAAGGCCCAGAACCTTCTCGGTATTCTCCAATGGCTTAGTTTATCCTCCTATAATTTTGTCTTGCAGTTCTCGGCAATTGTGACCTTCGCAATGCAGCTTCGGAGAATGCGTCTGCGGCGGACGCGGAGGAGGTGAGGGGGCGGCTGAGCGCGGCGGGGAGGGACTGCGTGCCGCGGGAGAGGAACTCGGTAGTCGCCTTTCAGTCACGAACCGGCGTCGAGGTTGGGGGGCTTGCACTAGCCATGGGTGGTTTCTCTTTGCATTTTTGGTGTTCCAAGTGTTTGATGAAATTACCCGCAGGTCTGCACATTCAGCTTGATTCTGAAGAATGCCGCGTCGCTGCTCGACGATAAGGATCCTCTCAAGGTTGAAGCTGATACCAGCCTTGCAGAGCTAATACAGTAGGTTTATCTTGGACATCTCAAGAAGCTTGCCAAATTTCTGTATATTATTGTGTCAACTGTCGAGTAAACTATCGGGTCTTTTTTTGTGGCAAAATTGATCGTTAGTTAACCTTGTGCAGATCATTCTCTGACCTGGGAACTGTGGTGGAGAACATTAACTTTGAGCTCAGTGATGATAGGTGAGTGATGTGGCCTCGCCACTCAACTTGTTTCTTTACTAAAAAAGTTCCCATAACCAACCATTTCTCTGTGTTTCCGATAGGCCTTATTAGGGGTGCTCATGTTGGTTTTTAGCCAGGTTAAACCCAGCAAGCACTAGTTTTATTACTAATGATTGTTACCACTTTTTCAAGTTCCTAGTTCAGGTGATGGTTTCAAACAGTTGAAACAGTTTTATAAAACCGTGTTTAAGTACCCATAGGTCTTATGTATCGTTAATTTGTCATCACAGGTTATTTTCATATTTATATTCTTTACTGTGAAAAGTCTTTTCATATTGCAATCAAGTAAAATTTACACTTTTGTTCACTAATACTCCTAGGTAGGATTTAAATACCAATGTCGATGTGCCCATTCCTTGACTTTCCTTACAAAAAGAGTTTTATAATGTAGATTATAGTTCTGTATTTTCCATGAAACTGCTTTGGAGTCTTCTTAAGCTAGTAAACTCGCTGGCGCTTACCAACTTCACTGTACTGCAGAAAGAAGATGAAGGATGACCTGCTGAGCACTATCTCCGCCCTTGATAAATACGAACAGGGTGTTAAGGATTGTTTAGGTGTATAGAATACTTTGCTGATTTTCGTTAAGTTTACTCTGAAGCAACTCTTGAGGATTGAAATCATTTCAGAATATAAATCGTTTTGTTTTCCTGCCATGTGTGGTAAGGGTTTTGCTTGCCTCTGGTCTTTTCTCACCATTGCCTTTTTTGTTCAATACAGTTTGTATATTTTGTTTGGCAAATGCGATCCATAGTAAATAGAATCGCTCACCCTATTGGACAAATGAAATAACAAGAGTTATTGGTTCAGATAAGATATATGTCACTTCCTTCAGTGTTTTCTATCTGTTGTGTTTCGGTTACCTCGTTTAATGTTTTCCATCTCTTGGGTTCCACATTTTATCAGAATGTTTAATGCCAGTAAAATATATATACATGCATCTTCCTGTAGTGTGGTTCCCTTCCTTCGCTTTGTGTACCATGAGATTGTTTTATGCTCACACTTATTGATGATTTTTAATGAACTGTGATTGCTTGGAAGGTACTATAAATGGGCGAAGAACTGGGCAAATCCTTGATAAAGTGCACCTTTCAGTCCGAGATAATCCACAAAATCTTGTCAGTGAAAAATATCGGTAAGTGTATTATACAAACTCACGTCTGGGTTTGAGTGCGACCGTACTCTCCAAGTAATCAGAGGAAAATGAAGAATCATAATTATTTCAAACAGCGATCCAGTGCGTATAAAGCCTTATAAAGTGGTGTGATCATCTGGAGAAGCAGAGGCTTCTACCAAATACAATCTGCGGCATGGTGTGCCATCCTCTGGATTAGTCTCCACTGATCTTGGCAATCTCCTCAGCTTATCAAACAGATTTTGTGGATGATTTAGGAGACCAAAATGTGCTTGGGGGTCTCCAATTTGTGACAACATTGCTTGAGAGAACCCCATAGAAGGCAGAAGGAGATCAGGGCTGTCGTGGTAGAAATGGTACATCGTCTGCGACAGCGACGCCGCATTCTTGTTCATGAAGTCAGCAAGGAGGACTGTGCAGGCTAAGGTGCGGCATGCCGCAATTGTTTCAAGGACTTGCATTGCATGCACATGATGAAGGTAATAGAGGATTCCTTCAAGAACCCATACGGTATTTCTTTCAGGAACATACCCACAACTCTGTAGCTTGGTCATCCAGTCAACATCTCGTATGTCAGCAGGAACCCTAGTCAACGATTTTGCCATCATGGTGAGTTTTTGATGATTTCCAGAACTCATTGCTTCATGCAGAATATCTGATTTCATATCTAGGAGATCTGCAAAGTCGAGTTCAAATACAGCGCATTCCTTTAGGCAGCCCAGTCGATAGGCTCTTGCGTCCATCCCTATAAAAACAATATTTATCCAAGTCAGTCCTTTATTTCGTCAAAGTAAAAGTGTGTTGTACATGTGAACATATCTCCCAAGTTTCTTCATCAGGTTTGTGCAATGCTTCAAAATGAAAAAAATACTATTAATGAAAAATGCTAGAGTTTAATTGTGCAGCTCTACATGTTTCATCAGCTGCAAAATGCTCAACGTCTTCTTCTAGCAATCTTTTGTGCAATTGCTGAAAAGCGTTAGAATGTTCAGGGATGAGCCTCAAATGCATTGCTGAATACATAGCGAATTTCGGCATACTGTCATGTATCCAAAGGAAAATTTGCTTGTGGAAGTTTGGGTTTCTATAGATGCTCATCTGTAGCTGCTGAAAAAGAAATCGATGTTTTTCTTTTCTTGGAACATTATGTGCGTGTCCTTTACTCCCCTAGGTAGATACCAACAAAATGTCCTGGTACACTGTATCTAGAGAAAAAAAATATCCTGGTCTACGTGGGCGCCAACCGATGGAGGATATAAATGCCAGGGTCTTGAAGGCATGAAGCTTTTCTGCAAAAAAGAAGAGGACATGAAGTTGATGTGTCAAGTGCTCTTTGGAGTCTGGACAAATCACACTCATATTTTGCCTGTACTAAAATTTACATCCCTACATTACTGGATAGCTTTGCTCTTGCTGCAGTGTCGCCGGGTGTCTCCATTGCTGGCCACAATTGTGTAATTTGTTCTGTTTCCCTTTCCGTCTACATGTACAGTGATAATGTCTCTCGTGGACCTTGTTTTTTTCCTCGAATCGATCAGGGTTTCTTTCCCCCGCAAAAAAGAAAAAGATCAGAGTTTTTCTTTCACACTGATTGTTTTCCAAAAGTGATCCACATAAGTTTTCTGCCACGTATAAAATCTGCAGGGTGGAAAAAGACTGGCGCAGAGGAGGGACCGTTGCCTACCAATGAAACTCCCGTTTAAGATTTTGAGGATGCTTTTCTATATATTTCAAGTCAGTTTGGGTATTATGATGGATTATGACAGTACCGTTTAGTTAAATGATATTTTCGCCTGTATTTGTTTTGCCACTTTGCTTTGCTGATGTTCTTGTGAAAATACTTATTTTTCTGTGGAATGTTATACTTGTGAAAATATGATATGAAGCCTGCTGGATAGTATAGTAGAATTTAAACTATTTTAATGGTATTGGCCTTTCAAAAAAATTACTTTGATAGGAACTGGAAAATATGCTGTAAATCATTCACAACTCTTTTGTGCATCTGTTTTTCTAAAAGGTGAAATGACACTTTGTGAGGTCTCTGGTCATAAATAGATGAGCTCGTACACTAACTTAGTCTGCAGTATGCATTTTTACTACTGTTTTTGCTGGCATATGTTAGTTAAAGGAAATTATTAACTTATATTGTGAAAAAAAAATCACGACACGCTAATTGGTACTATTTTCAGTTTACCAATCAAAATATATTTTTGTACAAACTGAAAATTATCTACTGTGTTGTTTCTAGAAATTCATCTATTTGCAAATGGTTAAGCTATTTAAGCTTGCAGATACCATGGTGTTTCACAACCACGATGAAAACTAATTGCCCATTCGACAGAAGTAATTTCAAAATCTTTGGAAACACACACACCCATTTTGTTTGAAGCATGTGCAATTGTGTAAGTAAAACTATTATTCTGTTTGATGGAAGCAATTATATTTCATTAAAGCAACTATTTAGTCATCATAAACAAATTGAAGCACGAACCAGACCGAAATGCCAAAACATGTTAAAAGCGTTTCAACCAGTGGAATAAGCAATCAATTGTAAAACAAACAAATACTCTGTGTGCGATGCATGCAGCTTGCATCCGTGTAATACGAAGATGCATTTCAAACTTTGAATTCGCAACACATTTCACCAAGGAATGCCACGTGCACAGTAGCTACGCACAGCACAGCGAGGCTGTGTTACTTGTGTAGGCGTGACGAACCTGCGCCGAGGAGGACGACCTGCGCGGCGCCGCCGAGGCCGGCGACGGCGGCCTCGATGCGGGCGTCGAACCAGAGCGTGCGCACGGCGATCATGACCCCGTGCACCTCGCGCGCGCCGGTGCGCTCGTCGCGGCGCATCCTCTCGTGGAGGCCCCTGAGGTGGCGCTCCCCGGCCAGCACCCCGGCGGCCGGGTCCCGCACGGCGCCCGCCCACAGCGCCCGCACGGCCGCCGTCTGGCACGCGCTCTGCAGCACGGGGTCCCACTCCGCCTCCACCCGCGCGTGCAGCGCCCGCACCCCCTCCGCCGCCAGCTGCTCCATCGCCGCCGCCAGCACGCCCTCGCCCTCCTCCAGCCTCTGCTCGCCATTGGCGCCCGCCTTCCCCTCTTGGGACGACGACATGACCGACCAGCTGCGTGGCTCTCGGCGCGGCGGCCGGGCTCTGCCGCTGGCTGTCCGGGGGGGGCGGGATGAGGGGGTAGCGCGCAGCGGCCAGCCGGCCACACGATGGCATGGCTAAGCCGCATATATAGTGCGCGTGGCCGGCACCGGCCCGTTCCTGTTCCGGCGGGGCAGCGTGGGCGTGACGGCGTGCACTTGATCGGCGGGGCCTCCCCCGCTTTACGTCGATCGCTCGTTGTATGGGAGGGGATAAGGGGAAGAGGACCACCCGTCGGCATGGGCTTAGCCAGTTCGGCGCTCGTGACCTGCGTACGGCAGGGTGGTGCCTGTTTTTTCAGCTGCTTCTCCTGGGCGTAGTACGGCCAGGCTCCCGGCCGGGGTCGGCGAAACTGTGGCGCGACGGCGACGGCGCGTGGCCGGTTGCGAGTAATAGCTAGGCGAGTGGCGCTGTCGCGCGGCGGAGGCGACAAGCACGTGCGCGCGCGGGGCGGCCGTTGGGCTCCGGCCGCCCGCGACAAGGCCGGCCACGCCCTTTTGTTGCCAGCTATGGCTGTGCACCGCCACCGAGGACGCGTCGATTCTCTGCCATGTGAAATCACTTTTTTGAGCTTTATTTATTTTTTGGGGTTTTTTTTAGCTTTATTGAGATAACGAAGTCGAAACAACAATTTTGTGAATAATGAAATGTTTGAAATTACTTTTTGAAATGATGGAGCCTCTCTGAAATAGTAGTGACCAAATAATGAATTCTCGCTGAAATGGTCGAAATCCATTTCTAATTAATAATTAAACCGTTATGAAATGACTGAAATATCTCGGCGTAGGTGCATTCACTTGTTTGAAGCAACCAAATCTATCTGTAATAGTTGAAATCAACTTTTAAAGACACTGCAATATTTCCAAAATATTGAAATATATATCTTAAATAGTTGAAACCACTTTTTTTGCGAGATGAAACCACTTTTCTGGAATAATGAAAAATTGAAAACATTTCTGAAACAAATGGAATCACCTTTTTGGAATAATGGAACCTTTCTAAAACAAATGGATCGCTTTTTTGGAATAATG